CCGGGGGTGTTGCTCAAAGCCCCCTCCCCCCCCCCCACCCAAGGTCTCTTCCCATCTGTTGCCTCACCCCTTTCACCCTCACTCCTTCCCCACTGCCAGTAACCGAGGCCCCATCAAGGGTTAAAGCTCTGCTGGTCTCCAAGGGGAGGGGCTTGCGGGTCCCCAGATCCAGGGATAGGTCACCTGAGGCAGGTGTCTTCCCCTGTGGGAACCTCAGGTTCCTGCCTTGTAAATGGTAACAGTGTCCAACTGGGGAGTGGGAGACCTCAGAAACAGCGGCCGGGGGTGGGGTGGGGGGGGAGGCAGCAGACACCGGTACCAGCCAGGAAACATGCCAGGAGCCCGCACCCTCCTCTCCCACCCATGAAGTACAAGCTCGGTTGGGGGGGGTTCCACGCCCTTCCATCCCCTTGTAAAATCACTTATGCTCCCCGGAGCCCCCGAGCAGGACATTTATTGCTCGCTTTGGGAGTTTTCTCCTCCGCTGTCCTCACCACCAGCCCAAACCCATGAAAACACCCAGGTTTTTATGGGCCATCTCTTGGCTGTAAACTGAGCTAATTACACGGTGCAAGCTCCTCTTTGCAATTCTTTCCCACAGGCTCCTGGAGCCCTGGGAGAGGTGCTCAGCAGGGAAGGGCAGGTCCAGGTGAGTGGAGGCCTCCAGGAGGGGCTGGCGGCTCCCACGGCAGCAGGAGTGCCAGCAGTTGGACATGGGGGAGAACTTGCTAAGCTGCCACCCGAGGGACACGTCTAAACTCCACAGCCCGAGGTGTTGAAAGCAGCAGCATTTTCTTCCACACCTGGAGGTCTCAAAATGGCTCTGGACAAGCACTAAGACCACAGAGGAGAAGGCAGGATCCTGAGCCTGACCCCAGACTCACTAAACTTCTGAAGGTGGGGCAGGGGGTCTGCATTTGATCGGGTCCCAGAAGACTCCAACACACAGTTTAAGAACCAGTGGGTTAGCTGGGCTCGGTGGCTCAGCCGGTAATCCCGCGTTTTGGGAGGCTGAGATGAGTGGATTTGCCTGAGCCCGCGGGTTCGAGACCTGCCTGGGCAACTTGGCGAGACCTCATCTCTACAATAAATCAAAAAATTAGCTGGGCGTGTAGCGTGCACCTGTAGTTCCAGCTACTTGGAAGGCTGAGGCGGAAGGATCGCCGGAGCCCAGCAGGTCAAGGCTGTGGTGGCCGGGAGCGGCCACTGCACTCCAGTCTGGGCGACAGAGTGAGACTCCAACTCAGAAAAAAAAAAAAAAAGAACCAGTGGGTTATGTGAACTCCAGGAGGACAAGCACCGAGACCTCAACATCTGGGCCCAGTACTCCTGCCCCACCCCCGCCTAGCGGTCAAGGTTAGGCCCAACAAACAGTAGATCCTCAGGGAGTTTCTGCTGAATGAATGCTTTAGTGGAGACAGTCATTGCCAGTCCACCTCAGGCCCCCCTCCCAGACCAGATGGTTCATCTCACAGGCTGGAACTGAGTTTGCCTCTGAGGTGTGTTTGGGGAAAAAGTCCTAGGGTGGGAGGAAGGAGGCCAAATTCTAGTCCTGGCCTCACATCAAAGCTTGGGCAGGGTCAAGTGTGGTGGCTCATGCCTCTAATACCAGCTACTTGGGAGGCTGAGATGGGAGGATGGCTGGAGCCTAAGCGTTCAAGGCGATGGTGAGCTATGATCATGCCACTGCACTCCAGCCTGGGTGATAGAGTGAGACCCTGACTCAAAAAAAACCCAACAACCTGGGGTGGAGGGTCAGGCCCTGTCTTTGTGCCTCAGTTTCTTCATATGTAAAACTAGATGCTAGCCAGGCTTGGTGGCTCAGTCTGTAATCCCGTGCTTTGGGAGGCCAAGGTGAGTGGATTGTCTAAGCCCGCGGGTTCAAGACCCACCTGGGCAACTTGGTGAGACCTCATCTTTACAATAAATAATAATTTTAAAAAAGCTGGGCTCAGTGGCTCAGCCTGTAATCCCGCGCCTTTGGGAGGCTGAGGTGAATGGATTGCCTGAGCCCGCGGGTTCGTGACCTCCCTGGGCAGCGAGACCTCATCTCTACAATAAATAAAAAAATCAGCCAGGCGTGGTAGCGCATGCCTGTAATTCTGGCTACTCGGAAGGCTGAGGCAGAAGGATCGCTGGAGCCCAGCACGTCGAGGCTGCGGTGGCCAGGAGCGGCCACTGCACTCCACTCTGGGCGACAGAGTGAGACTCCAACTCAAAAATAAATAAATAAAAATTTTAAAAAATTAGCTGGGCATGGTAGCACGCGTCTATAGTTCCAGCTACTGGGAAGGCTGAGGTGGAAGGATTGCCAGAGCCCAGCAGGTCGAGGC